GAAACAAAGCGGCCTGGATTTCGCATCAATCAACGAGAAACGACCACTGAAATTTGGCGCTTTACCTGAGCATCAACTGGACAGTTGGCAAATTGCCTACTTAGCTGCTGATGAAAATTTGCTCATCCTCGAAGCATCGCCTTTTTGTGCTGAAAAATTTTCCAGCTACGTTAGTTCGGGATACCACAACAGCGAACGATCTTTTCACTTTGTAGACCGAGCAGAAACTCTAACATTTGTACGAAGTTCAGCTCTCTTCACAACGCTTCAAGATTTGAATGAGCTCGAAAGCCGTAGTTTTCTTAGAATCCGAGGCTTAGCTCATGAATGGAGACCTTTTTTTCGCCGAGATTTATCAATTCTCTATCGAAATCCAACCAAACTGCTCCATCTGGAGAGAGTCTTATTCTCCCTGATAGACAGATTTTTTGGGCATATTTTAATTAGTCTTTATGAGCTGGAAAATCTGCGGACACAGTACGAGGATTGCCCAAATCGAATCTATCGTCTTACCTGGCAAACTTGGCGGGTACCATTGACAAGAACCCTTTGCAATTCGTTGCATGAAGAGCTGAAGTGCATTTTATCGGATTATTTTGTTCGAGAGCATTTGGAAATGATTGTAACATAAATAATAAATTATCAAAATGTCCAGATCAGTAGTTACACTTTATAGTTTGATTCTTAAGCCATACAGTTGTGTTCCTGTCCACGGTGATGGGCCAACAACGCCAAACAAACTGCATATGTTAACATATAGACGATTTCAGGCCCTCGTCCTCTTCTTGTCTCCCGGCCAGGGATATTCATTGTTTGCATCTTTAAAATTTCTACAACACTTGGCAGCTGTCCAGTTTGCTTTGGCCACTGCAGTTAGTCTGATGGCGATCTTGACGTTTGCTTCGTCTCCTGAACAGATTGCCAGGTTTATCAGGTTCTCCCAACAGTTCTCCTGAACAGCCTTTTCACGGCTTTGGCCATTTCGAAATATCTTTGTCGTATGTTGATGAGCATCACTGTTTCATTCCAAATGTTGCTAATCCTAGACCACCACAGTGAGGCAATTTTCTAATTTATTATGCGTTTTTTGCAGCAATGCAATGCGAAAAACGCATATTGACGAGAGGTTGTCTGT